TACAAATATTTTTTATAAAAAAAAAATCATATTTGACCCAAATAAAAGTATTATCAGGCAACAAAATTTTTCTTTCACGAAAACTAGTACTTGATATCACAAAAGTAAACTGAAACAACATTTACTAGTATATAAAGTTATTTGATACAATATATTAGTATTAAAAAATGTAATTATAAAATTTGATATAAATAATAAAATAATATATTTTTATAATTTTACAATTAATCTAACAAGATTACAATTCACATAAACTTTTCAATAATCATTAACATAATTTATATGACATAATTTGATTTTTTTATATACATACACATTAATTTTTATACTCTTAATAATATTTATTGATTTTATCGTTAAATTATAACTATATATTACATTAATTATTTATGTCAAAATTAAATAGTTATAAGAATATAATTAAATAGTTCTTATTTTTATATTTTAAAAATATATATTGTGTTAACTTTTGTGTGTATTAATATATATTATAAAATAATTTTGAATTGCTCTAAAATTTGTGTAGACAGATTCATATGCTAAAAACTTTTAATATGATGGTTAATTTTAAAACAAAATTATATAATAAAAATTATTAAATAGTGTAACAATTATTATAATTTATACCAAGTAATTTGATTTCTATTATATATATTAAAAGTTATTTGATACTTTATTAAACAATTATACTTTCCATATATTTAATATATATATATAAGCAAAAGTCAATAATAAAAATATACTACTAAATTAATAAAATAATAATAATTATTTTAAAATGTTTATATATATAGACACAGTTTGAGTTTGTTTTATGATAAGTATTTATGAAAAAATAATTAATATAAAAATAAATAAAATGCTTCTTAAAGTTAAAAGCATTTATTATTCAAGTTTTATAAAAAAGTTAAATGAGAGAATTTTTAAAAATAAAATGTATTTTTTAATTTATAAAAGAATTTTATTTTTTTCATACAAATATTTATTAAAAATTTATCCAAATTGTACCATAATTATTAAATGAGATCTCATTGATGCTTATGAAATTAAGTAATTTTCGTTTAGTTCTAATAAATTGTTTATTAATTTTTTTATCTTATCATTTTAATAGTACTTAGTAAATAAACACCGTTTATCCAAACACATCCATGATAGGCCCATTAATAGTCATTAATATATACATTTTTTTTCTTGCTCAAACCTTCTCACATTTTTATAAGCTAAAAAAAAAGTTATTATTGAACTAGTAAGTTTTTTGTGTATTGTGTAATTATTATTAAATTAAAATAAATATTTAAATAAAAATTAAAAATACATTATGTGATTATTCTTAAATTAAAGAAATGTTCATAATAAATACTTATTATATTGAATATGACTAAATTTAAAAGATAAAATTTTTAAAGTTAAAAATAAATTATGAAAATTTCAAAACAAATTTAAATTAAATTAAAAATATTAAATACTCAGTGTAGGAGAGACCGCATGACATAATGAGAAATCTAATTGGTTTTTTTAATATTATTTAAAATATTTTTATTTAAAAATAAATATTCACAATTAATATATAAAAATAGATTTAGAGTAAAGGGGTTCTCAAACCCCATACAAGATAACAATCCTAACAAACCAAACCAATAAGCCATATAACAAACCTTACACATAGGTACAGATGCACCCCACCAAATGTAGTAGCTTTTCAATCTCCTTTTAATAACTAATTGACAGATTACAGATCCTAATTGTGCTGCCATAATTATGCAAATTGTTCATCCATATTAAGAGAAGAGACCACCCTAAAAATATGTTCAGTGTGAACAGTAACTATTGGTGAGTTTTGATGAGAACCATGGTGACACCATCAGCACATTCTTGGACTAATATATAAGCAGAAAATGATAACTGCAACACTAACTTAGCACCCCCCATAATCTGTCTAATCTGATTATATTGTTGAACCAGAATACCTCGGTCAATGTCACTACACCTTTTTCACTCTCCAAGCCACCTGTGCTATGTGTATTGCTATAACAGCCCAACCTAGTCATTGACATAAGCAGCTTTTGTTATAACCTAGATATTATTGCCATTTGAACTGAGCAACATAATTGCCATCAAATTATTAGTATTGTATAAATACAGATCGTGACACTTGTACAGGCAAACTACCTATATGAAAAACTATAAATCTCTTTGATATTTTCTAATGTTTAAGTATGATTTCTTTTTGCTGTGAAAAGTTCGTGAGCATGAGGTTATTCTAATTTCGAATGCTTACTCGAGGCAAGCTAAAATTTATGGTTGTTTATTTATTATATGTCAATTATACATTTAATTAATGTGAATAGAAGCTTGGAGAAAAAGATTTCTTATGAAATAAATCGAACTAGAAATTTCCCATCCATTTCTTCTGGTACTGTTTCCAATTCTCAGTTTTTTCGAGTGTGCCCTAGAATTCATATATGACCCTTTTTTTATTTTATATTTTATCTTGTATGTAAAAGAAATTTTATTAAAGGGAGAACAATGGAGTGTTCTGACCTTCAAAAAAAACAGTCAAACAGCACTAATTAAGGAGTACACATAATTCTAATGTGACCCATTTCATAAAAGACAATATTTATCCTTATTCTTGCATTTTTTACAAACTAGAAAGAGAAAAAAAAACATACTATAAAGTAGATATAGTATAATAAAAAGAGATAAAAAAAATATTAAAAGATCATATAATTATAAGAATAAATGGAGAAATCCAACTTTTGGGTTCACATCCAAAGAAGATGGGAATTGGCTCTAGAAAGGCGTTTTGGGAATAGTAGACATGGTACAAAACAGAAGTTCCAGGGCGTTCTATTTTATTTTGGGTTAATTCAAACTGTTTGATAATTCCTAATTATCGATTGAATGAATATAATCGTAGTTTATTAGACTTTTGACAAGCGCATCTGTACGGGACCCACATTTCTCAAGATTGGTCGGTTGTCATCTCCATCAAATTTGATGTCTACCTCAGTTTCCTTCTCTTAAAAATCATGGCAAGAGAGAAAAATCTGTTGATTTTATGTGCCCAATAAAATCACATTAGAATTAATGCCAAAATTGCATCACATGCCTTACCTAATCTCATTTAGGAAATTGCCAGAAATAATAAGCTAAGCTTCTTAATCAATAAGACATTTCTCCTACTCAAACGTTGAACCACTTTTAGAGTTTACTGGATTAAAAATTCAGATGAAGAAGCTTGAAGCAGCATCATATATACATGTGAAAAAAAAATGCTACATACACACATTTCCTCCTCTAGACAACTACTCTGTTGCCCATGCTTGATGTGGAACGATGTACAGACACAAAATATGTACCCAGTATTAAACAAACTGAAACTAGTAGAAAATAATATTACATTAGAAAAACTGAAAAAGACCTTGCGTACTCCAAAAGAGTACGGCTAAGTATCTCGTGGCATGCATGCAAAGTTGCAGAGAGGTGCTCCCTAATAACCGGTTATAAAAACTGTTTCCCCAAGACAACATGCGTAATGTTGCATTTTGAATTTGTAAATTTCGGTTTTTTATAAGTTTTATTTTCAATTATTATTGTATTAACTTTTTCAATAAAATATTAATTAAATGTGATAAATTAATTTCTTAGAGTAGCTTAAATTTCTTATATTTTTCTCTTTCACAAAATAATAGCGAAAGATGGTTATAGTTATAATTGTCTCTTTCACTCACATTAACTAATTAAATAGAAAGAGATTAAGGATAAATTTAGTAAAACAATATGTAAATTATTGATAAATTTAATTAACATGAATAACTAAGTTATTTAATTTGTTTTAGTTCTTGTGAAGTGGTTAAAAATGTTCTATACTAGATCAAACGCAGTATTTTGCTCGAAGTAAACCATAATTAATACCCATCGCAAATGTTAATAGTTATTATTTTTTTCTCCTGAAACATGTTATTGACATGTTTTGTTAGTTACAGAATCACATTCTACAAATTATCCAAAAAAAATATCACATTCTACAAACACAAAGCTAATATATTTAGACAATTTAAATTTTGTACAGTTTTTCAATCAATGTTTGGTATATCCGATGTTTCAATGTTCTAATTAATTCAAATATGTCTAGCAGGTCCTATGTTGGCTATTGGAATGATTTGGTGAGGGCAATAATGGTAATCGGCTTGGTTAACTATTAAGGAGATAAGGTTTAGTGTTGACTAATCAGAGGAAAAACAATAATTGTATGTTTATGTAGAAAACGTATAATTAATACTAGTACTAGCTCACATAATTAAAGGGCAATGCAAAACACGAAGTTTCTACAAAGTAAGGTTAAAGGAAGAAATCATTTCTACCATTGTGTATGGCCTCTAATGCTGGCTAATGTCACTGCGCACAGATAATAGAAAATACTCTTACAAGTATTTTATTCAATGAGAAATAAATGACTAATTTATCAAAATTTATAAGAAAATAATAATTATACTTCATAAATTTAAAAATATTTTAAAAAATTAATAATAACAAATGATAAAATTGGTAATTTTATATATCAAATAGATGAATATATCTACTTATATAAATAATAAGTTTTTTTATTAACACAAATATCATGATAAAAAATATATAAAATATTATAATAATTAAATGAGTTATTATATATATATATATATATATATATATAACACCGTTAAACACAACATTAAACAAGTGTTAACACGATTAGATTATGTATAAAATGAGAATTCAAAGATTAATGACCAAGCAATATAAATATGAAAGAGGACAAAAATATGAACAGAAATGAACCACTATGGCCCATAATATGTCTACTCATTAGCCCAGTGACGTGATCTCCATACTCCATCTTCCTTCCTCCACTCTCCTCCTATTCCTTTCACTTTCACCTTTCACCTCCCTCTTTCCCTGGCTTTATTTAGAAACCCAACCCTCTCTCTCTCTTGATTCATTATTCCACAATTAACACAATGTCTAGCAGTGGCAGTAGTCATGGGAAGGAATTGGCAGAAGGATCATCAACAAATATTGCAATAGATTATCATCATCAGCAGCAGAATCCAGTGACACCTAGCCGCTATGAGTCACAAAAGAGAAGGGATTGGAACACTTTTGGACAATACTTGAAGAACCAAAGACCCCCAGTTCCACTCTCTCAGTGCAATTGCAACCACGTGCTTGATTTCCTTCGCTACCTTGACCAGTTTGGGAAAACCAAGGTTCACATACAAGGTTGCATGTTCTATGGGCAACCAGAACCCCCAGCACCCTGCACTTGCCCTCTTAGACAAGCTTGGGGAAGCCTTGATGCTCTCATTGGAAGGCTTAGAGCTGCATATGAGGAAAATGGTGGGCCCCAAGAGACTAACCCTTTTGCAAGTGGCTCCATTCGTGTGTACCTTAGGGAAGTCAGAGAGTGCCAAGCCAAGGCTAGAGGTATACCTTACAAGAAGAAAAAGAAGAGCACAAAGGGTCATGAAGAATCAAGCTCCACCATCCATTTCTCTTGAATATTCCTCTGGATCATATATGTTTCTGCCATAAATGGTAATTATATAATTAATTTTGTCGTATCACTAGTTCCCTCTCCCTCTTAAGCTGTGCAAACATCAACTTATGATGCTTATTCATATGTTATATCACAACCTAAAAATTACTACAATATATCTATATACATGTAGTGAAGTGAAGCATTAATGGATATCCATGTAGATGATCTAGTTTATATAATTATAAGATGTAAAAGACAGAAAGAACTTAATTAAACATTCGGGTCAGTGAATTTGTAGGATTAAAAGGATGGATCGATCTGGGACAAATTAAAAAGCTAGTGCTTTATGAAGTTTTATTTTATGAACAAGTTAGCCGATACTATTGAAGTGTTGGTACATTATTTTACCGACAAAAGTATTTCCATTGCCGTGTTTCAAGAGGTTGCAAAATTAAAGACGACTGTAGTAATCAAGATATAGGGAAGACTAAATTAATATTCCCCCGCTAGCTTTGCAACAAAAACAATGTTTTATGACACATCAGTGGAATATTTTATTATTTTTATGTTTACTTTCTCCTAATATTCGCCTTTTAAAGTTAAGCAGATTTTTGCCACATGAATATTCAAGTGAGATCTGTCGTATATAATTTAATTTCTCAAGTTACAAACATTTTTTAAAACGTATATATGATTAATTAAGGTTCTAGGTTTTAAATGAAACATCAATACAAATTACAATTTTTTTTATAACACATATATATGCTGTTTGCAAGTCTTTTCCTAATTTACAAGTTTATGCAAACAAAGTCATGATTGACTAGAATATTTCATATAGAGGTTGGAGAAATTATCCTAGTGCTTATTAAATATTAAATGTATCGTTCTTAGCCTTAACAATTCCCCACCATCCCCAATTCTATAATATGTCCCACTTATTGCTATATCTTTAATGTACAAGATCCTGGCAAGAAGTGATTTGATATACAATTGTTTTTCTTTTCTCCACTGTATTTGTTTCGCCATGTACCCTGATTAGATCGTGTCGTCTAGTATATGATTCTGATAGTTTTACCCATTTATCAAAAAGCTATTTGGTTTTCAAATGTATTAAGCACTGATTAAGCATTTTAGGAGCAAATATTTTGTTGGTTAGGCGAATGCTTGAGCTTTGTGCTTCCCGTCATCTCACGTGTTTTTGTCGGCTTTTATTCCAAGTGGAACTTCAATGGCAATTTTTGAATAGACACACGTTTTTGTATTTTGTATATTAAAATATATACATCATGGATTGCTCAGTGAAGGTACAAGCTCTTGGTTTCAAGTGATTATTCTACTCAAACTTGTCAAAACTTACTGCACATTTTGATTTTTTTTTTTAAGCTTAATTATAAATTATACACACATGTGGATTATTAAAACATGCATGCATATCTGGATTATTGAGCTTTATAAGCTTTTGGTGAGGTCCTTTTCAACATAATGCTTCTTCTAACATAACATTAATGCAGAAATCATGTCTAGCCTCTGCTCAGTGCCATGCGGGTACCAAGTTAGGGTTTTGTTTAGCTTGTCTTCTGATCAAATTATGAAACTATTCCTTGGCAGCTTTTGGGCTAGGAGTCAGATTTTTGGTGACACAGTGAAAACATTCACTTATGTGCTCCTTGACTCAGATTATTATTGTGCCATGTTTGGCCTGAACCTGTTTAAATTTGGGGCTAACTTTCACTCCCTCTTCCAATGTTTTCTTCATTTTCTTTCAGCCGTAAATGAGAGAGTGTATTACCCTTATACGTAAATATTGCTATCATGTTTATAGGTTCCATGAATTATATATAATAATACCAGCTATAGTTAGGTCTATCTCATCAAATAGATCACTGGTTAAGAATAGTGTCACGTGTTTGAATTATTAGTTGATGTACACATGAACTATTAGCTAGCTGTCCCATGAAGAGTATAGTATAGTTAATATCCTTTTCAAACATTTCATCGGAGGATAAGTGCCCAGAACAGCAAGAATTAATTATTAGGCTTAAAATGTGTAGAGGGAGAAGGGAACAATAAGTCTATTCTGGATGATAACCATTTTAACTAATGCACACTTGCATATTCGTAAATGTAATTGATGAGGAAACTGTTTGCTCCTTCTAGTTTTGTTTTTTCCCCTCTTCGGAGGGGTTTAATAATTAATGATTTTAAATGCATGATAGTTCTAATTAATTAAAAGGGAACTCAATCTTTATATGTTCTTACATAAGATTTGGTAACGGATTGTATATGAGAGTGTGAATTATTTATTCATATTAATTACCCGGATATTCTCTAAGTTCTTCCATGCTTAATTTGTATATGCATAGGCCTAATAAAAAGATTTCATGTGGATAAAGTGCTGCTACATAAATTGCTTATTGAAAACTTCTTAATCTCCTTAATTGCAGGATACTGTGGCGTATAAACTAAATTGAAGGAGTTCTTACTTTTAAGGCACGGCCCATGGAAGGATTTTATATATTTTCGGTAATTTGATGGCATCCCAGTACTCTTAAAATTTCTGTTTTGTTAATTACCGGGGAATTTGTAATTAATTAAGCTTATAGCAGAACTTAAGCTCAGGATATAATCGTTGGTTATGCCTCAGTGTATCTTATCTTCAAACATCATTTGCATATTTACATTTATAGTTTTCCCCCTTTTGCATGCATCGGTTCCATTAATATAATGTACGGCGTATTTCAATTATGTTGGGTTCATATGTATACTTATCCAATTATATAGAAAATTTATCCTTTTTATCTGCTGTCATGATATTAAGCCGAGGTGCCTTTTTGCAATTAACACAAGGTTATAGGTGGTGACAAGGATTCAGAAACTTGTCCCTTACTAATATAGAAATATGATTCGGGATATTGATTCAAGGTTATAAATTGCGGTCATAATTGCAGTTTTGGAGTCTTCAAAAATCATGACACGGTGAACAACTTTGGTTTTGGAAATCTTTAAAGCTTTAATGTTGTGGCTGTAATTATGATTTTGGACCGTAATTTAAAACCTTGATATTGAAGAAACAATGCTTAAGATATATTAATTATATTCCTTTCATTAATTAGCTGCTATATATTGAGACGATCAAAGCTTAATTAAGCTTTTCTCATGCAATAAGAATAAGATTGAGTGGGTATATATTAGCTAGGTAAATGTTATAGATAGGTTTTAGATGAGAGGGAAATATAAGTTAACTAGCGGAAGTCTTAGCTAGCTAAGAACTCCTCTAAAAGCAAAACTATTGAGCTTTTATTTGTTTGTTGATGAGAAGTGTGAGCATTGAGATTGTGGATTGAATCCAAGATCTGCTTTTCAAGTAGGCAATTAATTAGCAGATTAAGGCTCTTTTTAAACTTAAATATGTTTATGGCCATGGCACATGCTCAAAATACTAAAGCTTAGTTTCTTTGTAGAATAAATTAATGTACGTTTGAAATTTGGCATTACCTGTATGTATGTTGATCCATTATTAATTTTTATACTTGTTTATGCATTATCACTATTTAAAAATATTGGAAACACAGATTATTTCTTTTCTAAAAAATGTGTCATACTTGTTAATTCTAGGAAAGGTAAGTGGTCTGTATCCCTTAATTATTTCACTCAGCCCCTGGTATATTTTTTTCGAATGCTAGCTAGCGCTTCTTGTATAGCATTACTCATTTAACAAACATTTATCTAAAGAAAGCATTTTGCTAATTCTCCTTAATTAAAATATATGTTGAGTACGTACGTGAATAGAATTAATAAAAATTATATATAACATTATTGTATTATTGGTACTATTATTTAACTAGAATTATTATTTATTCATGATAAGCAGCAATTATCAAGATAAAACGATTATTTTAATTAGACAACAAGTCTAACAATTTTTATAATATTATATTTAAGTTTTGTTCAAAATCAGTTGCTTCTTTTAAAGATACCTTAAATTTGATGTTTGACATAAGAGTCTAATATGTTAGGAAATAATTAAATTTGAAGGAAAAAAACACTTTTGCTTTAGAATCTAAAGAAAAAAAAAAGTTAAATTTTGCAAAGTAAGCTAATCAAAGCACATAATAAGATGACTGAATTTAATTGTTCTAAAATGAATGGTTGATTTTAAACTATGAATTAAGTATCTCAACCATAAATAAAAAAAAAAAATAGAGACAATTTTAGTATATTCGTAATCATTATTTGAGTGAAATATCATTTGGGTTGATGAAAGTTTTAAGACTGATAATATTAGTTTCTAAAAGAATTTAAATTTTTTTTATCATTTAGGGTCGATTGGCTTTTTCATCTTGCAGTGTCAAAAATGATAATTTTTGTCATTTCAGAACTAATGTGACCAGCACTAAATGTTTTAAGAACTAAAAGTGATATTTTATATATCTTTATTAACTTATTATGCATATAGGGACAAATCTATAAAGCATGCAAGGAGGGATGAAGTTAAACAAGCTTGAACAAATATAATTATTATACTAACTAGCAATTATTTCACACATTACATGGATATCAAGCCAAGCTTCAATGATCCGAAGAGTCATTAGATACGCTTAATAAAGTAATAGTATATAGAACGAGAGTGTATGTAGTAATGTAAAGGATGAGCTATATTTTTATAATCCTCAAATATGGGTGAGGCAAAATTATAACATTCAAGTGCAGTTATGGCCTTTTAATCACTACATATTCTTGAAATTTTGACACGAGATGTGATCTAACAAATTGCTTATTAAATTCTTAATTCGATCTTAAGCAAGAGAGATATGAGGGTGTACACTGAGTATCTTATTCGGCTTTAGATGGTTGCTTCACCCAATATAAAACTCGAGTAACGAAGACCCTATGGTGTTAAAATATGTTAAACTGTTCTCAATTGCATAGACTTAGAACACATGGATATATATTCTAGAAATTATATTTACACTACAATTAAAATGTAATATGCAATTGTTTTTTATAAATAGATATTGG